TGACCCATCTTGTTTACCACAGCACCCTGGATCAGGGCTGACACAGTCGTGTGTTCAATAGATGTAGGCTCCTGAGTACATCCCAAGGAGATGCTGACCAGCTCTGCAGGACCCCTGTCCCTCTAGATGAAGGTCCTCTTTCCCCTTCATTTTCCTGGTTCCCTTAGCTGTCATTATTCATAAAATTCCTAAATTCGTAAAATTCCATCTCCCATTTAATTATTGCTGTAATATTGCCATTAGTAAAGGAAATGAAATGAAATCAAGGGCATAATGAATGTCTCAAAGAGAACACTCCACTAGTCACCTTGCACACGCGACCTCAGGGCCTGTGGCGCAGATCCAGACCCAAGGCCTCTGGGGAGTGTGTCCAGCTGCAGCTTCAGGTCACCATCTGTTCCAAGGCACAGTGCCGGGCCACAAAGTCAAACACGACCATGTTTCCCCTGGGATCCCCGTGCCACACATTCTTCAAGTGGGCTGCAGGGGCAGAGGACCGAGGAGGGAGCCCCGTGATCCTGGATGTGTTTGTGTGTGGATAAAGGGGTTCTGGGGCAGCAGATTCTGTCTTAAGAGATAGAAGTACCAGCGCTTTGCCTCCTGCGCCCCCATACTTGCCACCTTTATGAGATATGGAAGTTGTTTTAATCCTTGAAACTTTTTCCATTTCGATGGAGATATTAATTTTTCACTTTTAGACTTATTGGAGGGATTAAAGAAGATAAGCGTGGGCATTAACTAGCTTACAACAGTTGCTCAGCAAACTGAGATTTATTTCTACCCTTAGTATCGTTTGGAAACACCAGCTTCTCACTTAATCTGCAGTTCACGCCTTTCTCTGTGAGCTGGTTTACTGAGCTGGCTCTCATAAGGGGCAGATGACACCATGAAAATGAAGTGGGCCGCAGCCTTCACTTGCCGGCTGCCACTCTGCATCTATACCAAGTCCTTTGTTACAGCCCAGGGCACAATGTTGCCTGGCAGGTTTCTTGCCAGATTCTCTATCCTCGACCACTCTCCCCCAGTTTGCACGCTACCTCTCTGAGTCCAGGCTCAGCCACAGTAAGATATAGGTGATCCCAGTCCTCATGAGGCCACTCGGGTAGACAGCAGTCTACCTGAGCTCACTGAGTGGACGGCTCACACTGAGAGCTTAAGAAATCAGCCAGCAAGCTTGTCAAAATGGAGGTTCCCAGCTCTCACAACAGAGGAGCAGGTCTGTGCTGGGGAGGGAAAGTGTGGTCCCAAAGCATTCTCTTCCCAGAGGGATCAGTGCTTTAGCAGGGATGCAGGGTGGCATGTGGTCTCTGGCGCACAGTGAGTGGCCTGTGGCCATTACTCCTGCTGTCTGTCATACAGTTAGTCTGATCTCACAACTTTAGGAATCCTGGCTGCTGTCTGTAGCCACCTGCCTGCAGATCCACAGTGCTTGGACACCTGTGGGGCCCAGCAGGGCACCATTGTGCTTTCTGTCCTAGCTCCATCTGGGAAATCTTGGGTGTGGCAATTATTTTGATGACATGCTATGGACCAGGAAACAGGAATGGAGGGGTTGCGCATATGCAAGGATCTCAGATCTGTCTTAGAAAAAGACGGAACCCCAAAAGCCCAAGTTTATAAGCCCAGAACAGCGATTCAATCTTCTCACCACGGACTGATTTAATCAGCCTCCCCTGCTTTGCTTTCCCAGAATGGCCATGTGTATTTCTGTCACCTGAGAGTTGCTTTGGCAATAGGTAGGCACAGGTGACTTGCCAGTGGATACTCTAAGATAGGTTTAGTTGGAAAGGAAAAGAAACAACAACAAAAACCAACCAATCAAACAAAAACAACTGAAGTCACATGTGGAATTCAAAGACTTCTTGGGAGCACTTCCACAGCCTTGGGGAGCCTGTCTTTAGAATAGCACTGTGCTTGGCTGTAGCTCCCTGGAGGCTCCACAGCTGAGCACTCTGGGCCTTGAAAACATCTGTCAAGAACCTCCAGAGAGAGCAGTCACCAGGCTTCTCCCTCCAGGCCCCAGGATTAGAAGTCCCAGCTGGCCATGTGCAGGCCAGTGTGCCCAGGCCAGCTCTGATTCAATTTAGAGCTTGATTCTGAGGGTGTCTGTTCTAGTCCCTGCCATGCACTCTCCTCCCAGCAGCTGCCTGCTCTCCTCAAAGGGCCTGGAGATTTCTTTCCTGTCTGCAGTTTGGGTTGCAGAGGCATAAACAGAGTGCACAGCAGCCTTTGGGCTGGGCGAAGGCTCTGGGAAGTGGTTGAGTATAGAAGCCCCCATCTAGATAGAACTTGGACACAGGCCCTGCAAAGGGGACTCCATCCAGACAGCTTTAATGGAAACAACTGCATAGCCGTGGGTTCCACAGCAGGGAACTCATTCTCTGAATGCAGGGCAAAGTAAAGCTGGGGAGGAGGGAGAGGAGCTGGGAGCACCTCTTCCTTCTCTAGCAGCACAGACCCACCCCTACCCACTGCAAATATTTTAGTCTTCCTTCCAAAAAAAGAAAAAAGAAAGTCACTAGAAGTTGGTACAGAAGGTATACTTTGTATTTCCTGCCGAACAGTAACAACCATCTTGACCACCAAAGGCATTAAACTTCTTGAATCCTGAGGCTTGAGTCTAAGAGGTTCTTACCATTTCTAAGACGAGACTCTGAGTGCTGTAACACCTTTGGGTCAAAGGTGCTGGCCACAACTCACCCAGCCTACAAGAGGCAGGGGCTTCACTGCAGGATATGTGAAGAAGCAGCTTCTGGTGTGGACACACATTCCTTGATCCACGCCATTTAACTAGGATTTCAGTATTTGATACCATGGGAAGAGGTGACACCTTCCCCAGTGAAACCTGAGGGAAAACACCAGCCCCACTTCAAAACTTGATGTCAAATCTTAGCTCTGGTTTTTCACGTGCCCCTGCATCCAGGAGGGCAGTTGAACCACATTCTTCTTATTCTAGGACGACATGGATATGAAGTACAGGATCCTGGGTCTAGATGCAATTGGTAGCATATTCAGATCATGAGTTAGATCCACAATGAGCTTGCTGGGTGAGCGGCTGGCTCTTTTCACGTCATGGTCTTGGCCCCGCCCCTCTTTATTAATAAGACTTATTGTCTAACCCAGATTTAGGGTGCTTCTTATATAGGCAGGAGCAGACTGGACTCACCAAGAATATCTCACAAAGTCTTTCTCAAACCCTCACATACCCTTATGGGCAGTATGGGCAGTGCCTGTGGAAGCCTTGGACGCCAGGCTCATCTGAGCCTGCCTCAACTCACAGCTGCCTGGGTCCGGGCATCTGGCCTTCTGCACAAGTTTATACTGTTGAGTACAGTCATGGGGTGTAACATTCATAGAGCACATTCACAAGAGACACCTAGACAGACCTTTCAGGCCAGGGCTGGCCCTTGAGCAAGCTCTCAGCATAACCTTAGGGGTCCAGGATCACCCACCTAGTGCTTATCATCCAGAACTGAGACCAAAGAACAGCACAAAACAGGAGCTGTGCCCTGCTCCACCATCCTTGTCTGACTCCATATACCTCCCACCCCACCCACATCCTGTCTTGAAGCAATTCTCTGTGTCTTGGTCTTTGCAAACAGCAGTGATCCTCAAGAGGCCCTCAACCCTTCCTCTTAGGATATTAGAAACTGGAGGCAGGCAGTTGGCCACTGCTGGAGCCATGCAGGTGCCAAAAAGGGAGCTAGGCAGGGCTTCCCTCACCACACCAGGTCAAACTTCATCAACTCAGAGGCCATCAAGAAGTAACTGCTGGTTCACACAGGAAAGCCATGTTCAAACAAGGAAAAGGCTATTTCAAGTATGTCAGTGAGTAGTTTGCAGCCTCAGCCTGGGAATCCTAGCAGCCAGTGGGAGTATCCTGGCCTCCCGCAGGGGTCATCTGCCACTGGGAGAACTTCCAGGGGCACTAGGGCTTCTAGCACTCTGCGCTACCCTGGGCTGCCTTTCTCCCTGCTCTGGTTGGGACAATGGTAGTAGGTGGTGGTGATGGTAATTTCATGCTTTAATTAGTGCACGTGAATGCCTTTCCTTTATGAATAAGAATATAAAAGCTGTCTCTTTGATAGGGAAAACCTAGCAAATGCATTCCGGTGGGATGCTGTATAGTAAGATAAGCTGGGAACTGGTACCTTAGGGTCTCCCACCCATGAAGGATCCATGGGCTATTGGAGACCAGGCTCTCTGTTACATGAATATTTTACAACAACGAGCCTTTGCCAATGAAAACAAACTCTGTTTCCTCCTTTCTGGCTAGGTCCACTGTTTATAAAGGTATCTCTAACCCGGACCAGACGTTTTCCTACAAATGACAGACCAAGTCTCATTTTAAGGTCAAGCCTCCAAAGGCCATCTGTGATGGAGGTGGGTCTTGTATCTTATCTGTTGATTTCATTGGTTAATAATAAAGAAACTGCCTCAGCCCTCATAGGACAGAAAATTAGGTAGGCGGAGTAGACAGAAGAGAATGCTGGGAAAAAGAAGCTGAGTGGAAGAGTCGCCATGATTCTCCCGCTCCAGACAGACGCAGGTTAAGATCCTCCCTGGTAAGCCAGCTCATGGGCTACATAGAATATTAGAAATGGGTTAGAACAATATGTAAGAGCTAGCCAATAAGAAGCTGAAACTAGCCGGGCCAGGCAGTGTTTGAAAGAATACAGTTTCCGTGTAATTATTTCGGGGCATAAGCTAGCCATGCGGGCGGCCGGGTGCCGGGGACGCAGCCCTGCTGCTCCTATTTCAACACATCTGTCCTCTGATAGGTGGATGCCTGCTTCGGTCCATCAGTTCTGTTTCTGAAGCCAGTATTACCTCTACAAGGACAAAGCTGACTGACCCGGAGGTAAAGCCACCTCACAACCCTGCTTGACGACACCCTTCCTGGCAGACAACAGCCAGGCTTCCTTGGCTATCCTTGGTCATGGTGTGTTTGTGTGAACATCACCCTGTAGTGTGTATTACCCAGCTACTAGAGGCCTTACCTCATGGGACAAGTAGAAGGCCGCGATGCCCAAAGGCCAGAAGCAGCAGAGCATGGAGAAGACGCTGAGCCCCAGGTGGTCCCGCGGGGGCATCATGAGGAAGTTGTCCTCGCTCTCCGTGTCGCTGGAGTAGTCACTCTGCAGAGACAAGGAGAAGGACGGGAGGGAGGTTCAGTGAAGGAGTAACGGGATGCCACCTGGCAGGAGCAGGCCCTGCCAGGCTGCTGCTCTAGCTGCTCTTTGCTGATGATCTTGTTACCACGATCACCAGCAAGGGTGAGCCTCGAACAATCTGGGTAGCAGTGGGGAAACCTGGCCAAGATCAGGAAAGCTAAAGGCCTTCCCAGTCCAAACCTTGTCCACAGCTACACAGTAGGCAAATGCTTCGGAAAAGAATTGTGATACAAGAGGTCCTCAGCTCACCGTGGATCAACTTAGAGCTTTGCTTATGTTGTTGCTGTTTTGTTTCGGTTTATCATTGATTTCTTCAGGCATTAAATGAATTCTGACATAGAGGATTGCTTAGACTTAGAGTGGGATTATTGGGAGGCCAGTGAGGAAAATCGTATTTCAGAGATCTTTGGGATCCTGGTGTGGGGTGATAGGGATAAAGATGGTGGCCTTGGGGACTTTCAGGAGACACGACCTACTTGTATCTTGCTTTTTGTGCTCAGCACATGGTGGGGCTAGTGTGGACAGAGGGAGGATGCTGTCTCTGGATAAGCTCAAATTTCCTTTGATGCTGATCTGAGTCAGGATGTAAGGGACCCGAGTGCTACCCAGATGTGCAGCCTCCCTCCTGCGGATGTGACAGCTGTTCTGGGAGCAGCTGCCTGTAAATGCAGCTTTCTCTTCCCCGTGATACAGTGGCACATGGGACTCTCACAGACATGGTGAGAATTTCCTGGGAATCTGATGTAGGTGGTTAGGTGGGTGGGCTGGGAATATCAGCAAGAATGATTCTAAGACTTTGGGATAACCACTGCCTAGCTACCTCGTGCATGCTTGCTTCCCAGATCTTGGATGGACACCCTTGGCTGGTTCCACTCCCAGAGGATTTTATCTCATCAGAGCGCATGCCCTTCGTGCCGACTCATCAAAAACCAAGGCTGCCTCCTCCAACTGTTTATCTCACACAAAGATGAAGCCCTAGCTTGCTCCAGACACTGTTTCTAAGAACATAAAAAGAAAGAGAGCATCTCCTCTTCAAAGGGCTCATTATCATTCAGCTCCCGCCCCAGCCGAGAGGGAGAAGCTTGACAACGTACTATGGTGCATGACTGTGGGGTGATTCCAATCGACACCTGCCACATCAGGCTAGCCACCACCCACCCCAACCCCCCAGCAGCATGGAGTCACTCATACACAGATGCAAAAGTCCCCCAAATGAAAATGATGCCGTTCAAAATTTAACACATAAAACTGCCGGAAGCCCCAGCCGCCAGGCAGACCACACAGCGTTGCATTGAGAGGTCAGGGAATCGGAGTGAAAACTTGGTTTCTGTGTAGTTACTAGAGAAAACAAGCACAGGGTGTTGGGATCACTCACATAACAAACAAGGGTTTCTTCGGGTGACCCTGCCATGGAAGCTGATGACCCACTGCCCACATAGGGCTGGTTCTCCCTATGCTTCACTCCCCAGAGCAAAAGTCATCTCTAGAGGCTATAAGGCCAGCTCCCTAGTATGGCCCTGTCCTGCTGGTCACTGTTGCTCTCTGCCCAGGTATGAGTCTTCTGCCTGGTACTGCATCCCTTCCATGTGTAGAAGGGATTGTACAGTGTCCCTTCTACGGAACTACATCTGTGGAATTTCACTTCATTTTATTCCGTACACATCTCCCATATGGTCTTCAGAACAGTAAAGGAAAATGAAAATTACTATCATTATGGCTATCTGAGACGGAAATCAACACAGCCAGCAGGGATGCATAATTCATGCAAGATCCAGGGACTGCACTGCCCAGGCCTTGCATAGCATGGAATCACCTATCAGGATGAAGGAGGCGCTGTGCTCAGCCTGAATGTTGCCACACAGTGCCTCTTCACATACACACCTGTCACCTTTAGCTCTATTTCCTGCCAAAGACTAGTGAAGCAGAGAGGAGGTTTACGGCCACAGCTGCACGTTGACTGTCCTGCTGGAGGGCCATCTCTGCAGGAAGTGCCTGAGAATTTGGCCTGTGACAAGTCCACCGGGATCTAAAGAGCACTCTTGGAAGTCAAAGGTCATCCATCTTCTTTCTCCAGACCTTCACCTTCTTGAGCTACAGACCAATGTTGCCCTGACCAGAGCGGAGGTTTTGGCTCATGGGCAACAAATCTGTGCCTATTTGTTTGGATTCTTAGTTTTCAGGTTTTGGCTTTTAGTTTACAAAGAGTTCTGTGCTCCTGAGGTCATTGTGTCTCATAAGGACTCTAGATATAATTGAACTTTTATTGCCATTTCTGTTTTATAATAGGCAAAGCAGTGGCTGGGAGAGGTTGACATTCTTGCCAACCACCCCGCTTAGCCAGCTCCGCACTGTTTATTCCAGGCTTCGTGCTATGCTTGAACTCATAGCCAGCTGCACAGAAAACTGTTTTGTGTCACCTACATCTAGATGCTCCTTCACTTTGGCCACCAGGGACTCTGATGATCTTGCTTCTTAATTGGTGTGTGCCAAGATGCTTGTGTAGGCATGACAGTAGCCACAGTGATTCTGAAATTTTCCCTTACAGACAAGGCTGGAATCTGCTCCTCCACAGCACCGCAAGCATGCTAGCACCGTAGGGGCTGGCTCTCCCGTCTCTGAAGAATCACATCACTCTCCCTGTGCTGTGGAGAAATGGGTTTCAGAACAATACATACTTTGCTGCTTCTTAATTGAACCACACACAGAAGTCACAGAGTTGTTCTTGCCTGACACCAAAATAATTAATCAGCTTGATTAAAATGGATTTTCAAAATTCAAGAAAAATTACAGAGACGATAAGAACATCCTGGCTTATAATCCTTCCTTTGCTCCTCCGTCTGCAGGATCCTGATGGGTTTAAGTGGTCATGGGCAGAGAGCCACTGAATGGGGAGAGGAGATACAGCTGGCCCAAGAGACGTGCAGATTCCTTTGCCAAGGAGATGCAATATGCACCGCCCATGCAGAGGAGACTCGGCTTGTAGGGCAGCTGTCTTTTAAATCCCTTTCCTAGGTCACTGTCTGGAACATCTGCAGCAGATGGGAACCACTCACAGAAGTTCAGGATTCATGAGATGTCTCCTTGCGAGCTGTAGGAAGCAAGGCAGAGGCAAGTGGACTGCTGGCCCTGCAGCCTGTGCCTGCTGATTGGTTGCTCCCCTGAGTGACATATCTCTCCACTGGGCTTGTGGGTCTCAAGTGTCATTTTATTTATTTGTTTTATTGTTAAATAGTCTCAAGGTCAGGCTTTGTTGCTGATCTTCCCCGAGTTCCACACCGACTGCAGCAATGCGAGCAAGTAATACTGATTGTTTCCAGGGAGCAAACTTTGATTTAGCTCTGTTACTTGAACCCCCTCCAGGTGTCACCACTAGTGTGGGGTCCTGGAGTCATCCTTCTTCCTCCACCCTGTTATCTGGGCAGGAAGGTCACCATTTGGTCCTAGGAGGCACTCTGGCTGGGTTCATTATGCGGAGCCATCAGCTGCTAGCCATGCAGACCTATGCAAACCTCAATCACTTAGAATTAGATACAACCAAGAGCTGGCTCCGGGGACTCACTACACATTCTGTTACTCAGAAGCCACAGTGTTCAGTATCTATCTACCTATCCATCTATCTATCTATCCATCTATCTATCTATCTATCTATCTATCTATCTATCATCTATCTATCTATCTATCTATCTATCTATCTATCTATCTATCATCTATCTATTATCTCTATCTATCATCTATCTATCTATCTACCTATCTATCATATATATCATATATATATCATCTATCTATCTATCTATCTATCTATCTATCTATCTATCTATTTATCTATCTGCACACTTCTCTCATGTACCTGCATCACCAGGGACTCCCCGACACTGAACAGACTGTCTGAACCTTCCTTGGCAGAATCTTCACCTACCCAGAAATTTTCAGCCATGTTGCTGTCTACCAACTGACTTGGTCTGAGCTCCTGGCAGGCAGAGATCACAGGTGACACACATCCCTGGCACAGAGAGGACTCAGTGAACCGTTGCTGGATAGAGAACTCCCCTGAGGCCTTAGTCAACAGAAACATCAACTTCAGCTGAGAAATGACTCCACCAGAGTGGCCTGCAGGCAAATCTGCAGAGAATTTTCTTGATTAATGACGATGTGGGGAGGTTCCCATCACTGCAGGTGGTACCACCTCTGGAAAGGTGGACTTGGGCTGTATAAAAACCAAGTCGACTGAGTCCTGGGGAAGAAGCTAGTAAGCAGCTTTCTTCCATGGCCTCTCTTTCAGTTCCTACCGTGAGGTCCTGCCTGGTGGTCTGGAGTTTATGAAATAAAAGATGAAATAAACCCTTCCCTCTGGCTTTTGGTCATGGCATTTTTTTGCATCCAATAGAAACGAAGCTCAGATAAGGTCCACGTTCCCTGCTTTACTCAAAATCGGGTGACATTAAAATCCATGGCATCCTGTCTAGCCTTATTGTGTGGTACCTGCATGGCTCAGAGATCTGGGATCCCACAAACACAGGACACAAGGAAGGCCCATTTCAGGACATGAGTACAATCATCCTAAACAATACATAAGCCATCCTGGGTGTATCTTAGGAGTATGTCTTTAGTTTCTCCTGTTTGGCCCTAGGTTCCCCACAGATTGAAAGTGTATCATGAGGTGGTAAGGCAGAAGCAAAGTAAACCTGCAGCAGGTTGAGGATGTAGCTCAGTCTAACATGAACCAGGTCCCATTGTCTTCTTTAAAGACACACCCACTACGGGCTTCCTGCTAGGCTCCACCATCACACAATACTGCCAGAATGGGAATCAAGCATTTAACACATGGTCTTTGGGAAATACTAAACATACACAACAAACTTCAGGCTTTAGGAAGAAAATGAGACTTCAGTTTGATGGTCCTCGACTTAGTGAAGGATCTACATGCAGAAGAATCAGCACACGCAAAGGCCATGGGTCGACGTGGA